TGCGCGGTGTTTCTTTCCTAGTGTGTTGATACTCCGCTTGAACGTATTTCTAACATTGTTGGAACACTTCCCAAAAGGTGCAGTTCGCACGATAACACGCATAAAGATTTCATCCACGTGCTCGTGTAGGATAGTATCTGGTGTCTTTGACGTTAATAACGATGCGATTTGATGACGAATACATTCACAAAATAGTGTAAATTTGATTTTTGAACTAAATGGCGCTGCCGAGTTCAGTTACCAACCAACTTGATAAATAATGATAAATATTTGATTTCTCATTTGTTTATTTGGCAAACAAATGTTTAATGTCGCGACCATACAAAGGCAAAATGAGCGACGGTGACAGGGTTCGAACTCAAAACCGATAGGTCGCTATTTTGATGACCTTAAACACTCGACCGCGCAAGGGAAAATATGAATTGCTTTTTTTAATTGTTGACATGGATTTCTTACGATAACAGTAGGTCCTCGTGAGTCGGAGATCTACCTTGTTGTCTGTGCTTTTACAGGAGGTTGCAATAAAACTGCTGCCTCACTGATCATTTGCGAACCAGTAATTCACCTTGGATTCATGTTACGTAAAAACAGCTTGAAGAGAAAAGTGGGTTAAGGATGTATCCGGTTGCCATGCCATATTTTAGGATAGATGACTATGAAATGCTCTTATCAGCTTCATCCCCTGAGGCTTTGTTACGTCATTGACTGTAATAACCACTCGAGAACGTGTTCGGACCTCCGTTGTGACACGCATTGATCCATTGTTACCACAACTGCAATTGAACTGGTAGATAACGTGTGAAGCACAACGGGATGGCTTTCTCTGTTTTCGGTTGTCCGGACAAATCCTATGGATGTAAGTTGTCAGTCGAAGCCGTGCCGCAAGAAATGTTCTATTCCGGGTGCAAAAATGTTTCTGAGGCAACCAGTCAAATTGCCGTAGCACTAATTTCGATTAGTCTGCTCCCCCAGCGAACTGTTGTCCGTTTAGCTACTGTAGTAGTGCTCAAAACTTACTTGTATAAATACCACATTGTTACAGGCTGTAGCGACTGAAAAAGTTACAAGCAATGCGGACATCTCGCATCTTTCCGCTCTAACGAATTGGATACGGAGGACCCAAATGTTTCCAAGAACAAGTTTTAGTAGAGCTTCATAAATGTTTTAGGATTAGACTATTTTTTCCCTACCGTGTACATGGGATTTGTGGATAATCTGCTTACGCTGCGTCTGTAATTCCCCAGTTTATATCCTGAGCTGAGTCGATGAACTGTCGCAATGTGAATGAGGCCCAAACGGGTTCAAAACAGCCAATAAGTGCTTCCTAGCTTTTCAATTTACATTTTCCTTTTCCCCGTTGCCCAGCGGAGTTCCTCATGCGTTCAAATCAAATCAACTCCCACTTTGTCCTGTAACAGATCACACTGATTGTTGCCCATTTCTTTCCCGCCGGAAATTCTCCCGTGGGGCCCACTGAAAAATTCTCGAATCTATGCATTTTGGCCAACCTGTAACAGACCCCCTGAAATTATAATTGGGCAAGTTAGGTCAGGCTCAGAAACAAAATACAAACCAAAAAGAGAGGTAGCTATGGCATTATGAGTGTGTGTGAGACAGAAATATTCATCATTCCGCCCGATTGACCCCAATCAATCCGTTTCTAATTATCCGATAAATCATTTGTGACAATATCCGACCTATTTAAGCTCATCAAACTCTTGTACTATATATGATGGATACATGGCGGGGAATCTAGTGTATGTGAGTATTGGTCAAACGGTTACGTGGATGGATTGCATGAATGGGACAACAATTGCTCTTTCCCCTCCCCCGATTTTAGATTCTCGGCTACAAGCAGAGTAGAGTGAGTAGCTAGCCAATCCAAATCGATATATAGGTCAGCTTGATGGTGGAGAGCTAGAAGGTGAATGATAGAAAGTGGGATCAACAATTAGGCTTATTGTGTGCAAATATAAATGTATCACACAGCTTAGAGTATCAAGCTTGGATTAGCCCATTCGATTGTTCAGAGGCATCAGGCACTCTTGATGGTTCTCGGTGTGGGTTTCACTCCTTGGGAGATCGTTAATTCCCCTGACAGGGACACAAAAAGTACGCATTGATGACGAGTCCCAAACAGGACGAAACAGTTATCCAGTGCTCTTTGTTGGTTATCATAAACATTTCTATTGCATACCCATACAAACAGTGAGGAATTAACGATCTCCCAAGGTATGAAACCCACACCCAAGACCATCAAGAGTGCCCGGTGCCTCTGAACAATCGAATGGGCTAATCCAAGCTTGATACTCTAANGTGTAGCTCAGGGGTAAGGGTTTGAAGTCCCTTCTCGAATGCTCACGATTCGAGTCCTGACAGGGACACAAAAAGTGCGCACTGATGACGAGTCTCAAACAGGACGAAACAGCTGTCCAGTGCTCTTTGTTGATTATCACAAACGTATCACACAGCTGTTTTTGGTTTTCCAACGCAGCAGGCGACCATATGTCGGGAAGTTGTACCAGACTTCACAATCCCAAAGTATTTGATTGATGACAATGTGGTATGCTAATAGGGAAATGTATGCGGACGGAATATAAACTAGTTAAGGGAAGGAAACTGCTAGATCGGGGAGAAAAAGACATGTTTTGGGTTAGAAGTTGAAACGTTTTCACTTTTAGCCCTGGGGTAGATACCAACTTCTTCTGAAGTTATGAGCAGCATCCCGTAGACAGAAATCCACAATGTTCGACGCAACTGGTATACAGGTACCTCCCAACAATCTTGCAAACCAAGTATAAGGGTATATTTTTTGAAAATCGTAACAGCTCAAGGATGTCTTTGTCATGAAGTTTCCTTGTCATATCAATTTATCGCTGCTAGTTCAGTGCAGACGTTTTTGCTCGTTGTTGTGGCATAAACAAACAAAGGCCGAAAGAACAAACGACAGTTCAAACCAATCTCGGACTGATACATCCATTGCTAAGCACGGAAATGATTAACTTATTCACTCTGTGTAATTATTTCACAGCCAGGTAAAACAAATTACACCGTGTATGTGACGGAGATGTTCCACAGGTTGCATGGGTTTCGCTGCTGACTATCCATTTCGGTTCGCTGTGGCACGCTACCGACTGGAGGAATCAATCTTCATAAGCTCACCTATCTGGGTGATGATCAGCAATTG